AGAGGTATGAGGAAAATACTGTATGATGGATAAATAAGTACAAAGAAAGCAGACGGGACTACGTGTTGTTTATGGGTAGATGCCACTTTCCAATTAAATGGAGGGTTTTTTGTTTTATTTAAGATTTTGGGGATATTTTGAGACCAAAGAAAGGGTAATTTAAGGCAAGACAATTTGTGGTTATCAGCAATGATGCTAGGTATTTATTATGGCTGTCACTATTGCACAAGTGGTAGCTTTGCAAATTAAAGCTGAAGTGCTTAATTTGAACTTTCATGTTTCAGGAGTTCATATGACTAAATGTTTATTTTTATGATGTGGCTGGTATCTGCGTGATCTATGAAAAGCTGAGTTGAAGGAACTGTTATCTGAATTAAGGAAAGGCACAGCAATGGAGAAAGCATATTCCCTTAACTTCTTCCCCTGCCCCCTTAAAGTAGGAATGGGGAAGAGTCACACCGCTGAACTCAGGACTCAGGGAGGACACGTGAACTCTTTGTTTTCCCCAAACTGGGGCATTTGTGTAAACAACATGTATTTAACATACACAGCAGAAAACTTAAATTGCTTTTACCATGGAAATCAGTCATAAGGTTGCATGCCTGTTTCAGTTATGTGCGTATTGTATGTGCTTAGTTTTCAGAGAAAAGCCATTCTCACCACAATTAAATCACTTGATATTTAAAAATCAGCTGGGATCTCCCCATTTTATAATAACGGGTAGCAGCACTCTGTAGACCGAAGGCATGGCCTTACTACATTTGTGACTATCTGTTTGATAGTGTAACTAATGGTACTATACAACCATGTACTTACTGCTATGGTATGCATTAATCCCCTAAAACAAAAGTTCAGCCTTCTAAATAGTTTAAAGGGGAGAGGAGCCTTTTCAGGTTGGTGTTAAAAAATTTCTGGGGCAAAAAAATAGTGAGCCTCTATTTTAATGCTCAAAACAAATTACAATTCTTATTTTATGTACTCGAGCCTTTATATACAGGCTTGAGTGCTTTGGGGTAAGTAAGTAATCTCTTGATGTGCCTCAAAGTCGTTAGCTGTTTTGTTTCTCCATGGTAACAGCAGTATAAAGCTGTATGAGCATGTTACTGAAGTAGGCAGACATGACATTGTTTAGGAAGGGGATTACATGTGAGGACTGCAGCTCTAAGATGATTCTGAACAAGGGCAGTTTTTAACACAAGTGCTGTAAATGTGTGCAGATGTGCTAATTCAAGGCAACATTCAAGGATCAAAAAAGGCTGAAAGGATCTAAGCCATAAAGTTTGCGCTGGTAGGATTATTGGACTAGGCTGATGAAGTTCTGCAAACATGGCTCCTCATGTGATGAGGACTGTACCAGATCAAGGTTTAAATGTAGGGCTCTGCCTCAGGTTCAGACGCACTACAAATCGAAAAGACTCAGTGTGTGTTTTGTTTAAAAATTTTAAATTTAAAGTTCACAAAAGAGCATAGAGGTGGGAGAAGCAAAAGACATCTACCTTATTGTAGAGTTGTCTGTAAACTCCAGTAAGTAATCTTGTAATATTAACTAGGTAAGCCCTGTTTACACTTTGTTCCCCTCCATGGGAATATATATCACTGTTACCTCAGCAGACTAGTTTAGATAGCTCTTACATGAAGAAATGCACAAAGGTAATTTATACCAGTGCAGCTTGATCATGCATTGACCTCTCCTTAGTACTGATGCACTTTTTTTAAATCTCCTTTTTTCCCCCTATTTAGATGACTGTGACCTCCTCAACTGAGGAAAATCTACTAACTTGCATTTATATAAGGAAAAGGTTGTGATAACCTTTTTCTAAGCTGTACATATTGCATGAGGGAATTCTTGCTGTCTCTGTTCCAACAAGACTTAGTGCAGTGAAGGGTTGAGCTAACCTTGCAGATTGAGTCGTGTTTCCTCTGAGTGGATTCAGCTTGGCTGGAGAGGACAGAGTGCATGCATGTGCTTAAGGGACTGTTTAACTTTCCTTGTATAGTTAAAAACAGTGCGACTTCCTTGTCTCTCCTCCCTTTTCCTGAAGGCAGGTGAACTTAAATAATTTCTTCTGGTTTAGAAGGCCATGTGACCTGCTCCAGTACAAGGCAACTTCATGTCAGTACACCTTCCCTACAATAGGGCTTTTTAACAATCTTTAGTTGTTCAACTTGCCTCTTTTTAAAATTTCTAAAAGCAAGTGAAAATTAACTTTTTACTAGGGCTTCCTAAGGAACCAGACTTGTCTACTAATGCTAACCTCCTGTTCATCTGCGCTGCTCTCTGCTGTTTCTGCTCCAGTAGCTTTGGACCATATTGGAAAAATTCAGTGGGTGCACAGCTTGGTGGCAGAACAGAGAGGAGACCTACATGAATGCTCTGGAGCAGCAAAGCTGGGAGCAACAGCAGTTTGCTTGCAGTTGGTTACCTGGTCAGCTAGCTCTGCACTAAGCTGCAGACGAGCGTTGCTTGTCTGACGGAGAGTTAACGCACTTGAAAACCTTAAGTTAGCCCTGTGGCTTGTGGAGCCACTCGGTCTAGTTACCGGTCAGGCTGGCGCATGCCGTAGCCTGTGAAGAAATTGCTGTTATAGCTCTACTTTTGTCCTTATGTAACTGTGCTAACAGGGTTGTACCAGTGCGACTATTTTGAGAAGGACTGTTTCCACTTTCAGTTGAAACTGAATTTTCAACCCCTTTTCCGCGCGGCGCAGTGCGCCGGCCGGGCCTGCGGAGGGTGCCCGCAGCGGGG